TATAAGGGTGAATCATTTATCCTAAACCTTTTTGGTAAGGGACTTTCTAGTCTCGTTCACCTAAGGTAACATTCACGGTAGAGTTACCTATGTACCAGACCCGTCCACCCTTTCCCTGGGTACCCAGTAAGTCTTTCACATAGAGATTTCTATCAACAAAACAATTAACTACGCAAACCACTATCTCATATTTCATTTATAGATCTATTAAACCATGTTCATGCTGATGCAATACAACAAAATAAACCAGATAAATCGATAAGGCTATAGAAAATATAAATTTAGAACATGCACCATATAATAATAAACAAATAGAGCAATATAAGAATATAAACTGGAAATCAGAACAATTGTGAACTAACTGGTTCTGTCTCCACTAGTGACCTGTAATTTTTAGGGTTCTCTAATTTTTCATAAAAATATGAAATTATGCAACATTAAGCCTCAATTTACCGTAATGGAGAATAGTGTGAGGGATCCTTAGCTAGATCGGTGTTTCGGAACATCACACTATCTTTTACGCCTCTTAATAAGTACTGAATTTTCTGAATTTTTTATGCAGAATCCAAAATATTTGTCACGCACCTAAAAATACCCCACAAATCCAAAATCAGTGCCCAAAACTCTTTTTGACCAATTTTGGAGTTCTGGCACGGTGCCGGCTTTGCCGCCCATGATGGCGGTTTGCCTTGCCCTGACCAGTTTTGGCTGGTTTTGGTCAATTTTGGCTGTATTTCTCCAGAAAAATATTTTAGGAGCCTCGGTTGATCATAAAATTACAAAAAATCGAACCTACCAGCGGGGAGAACTTCTAGGTGCGGCGGCTCCGCCGGTCCTCCTTCGTGACTGAGGTTCTTTATTCAGCTAACCTGCACAGAAAATGACGATGAACACAATGATTAAAAAATCACGTAAAACAGGAATCAGGAAGGGGTTCATTGGAGGATTTTGGGGTTTTGGCCGCGGCGGCTCCATCGGGCTTTGCCCGCAATTTTCGGCTCACTTACCGTCCCTCTTGCTATGATTTAGCCACATGGGTGTTCGAAATCGAATTCCGAGCAGGTAGGGAGAATTTTTACATTTTTTGGCGGCCGATGGTGACTTCGATGTGGCAAAAGTCAGCAGTCGATTTCCTTCTTCGGTGCCTAGTTCTTCTTCTCCTGCGGGGTTGACAGCTAAGGTTTGGGCTCCCATGTAACGCGAAGTATTTATACTCATCCTACGTCGATCTTGGTCGTTCATCGCAATTGATCTCGTCCGTCCAATCCCGTGTAAGAAGAAAACGAATCTGGAGCGTTCATCGCAATTTGATCTTGTCTGTCCGATTGCGCCTAAGAGGGAAACAAATCCAGGCTATCCATGCGCGCGAGATCGATTTTGGGTCATCCGATCACAGGGCACACAGATCGCCCGTATGGCCTCCCGCATGTCACCGATGTCAGCGTACCTTGCCAAGCAATGTGCTCCAATTCGTCGGGGCTGCTGACTGGGCGGTTTTACGTGGTCGAACTTTTTCTATTTATATTTTGACCTCCTATTTCTAATTTTTCTTTAAAAAATACCTTTCGAATCCAAATTTTTACCCATTTCTCTCAAAATTATTTTCAATTACATCATTACCTATTTTTTTTCAATAATTTAATGAAATTAAATTATAAATAATTCTTTATTTATTTTTTTTAAAATACTGAAATTGATCCCGGGTCAAAATTCGGGCCTGGGTATTACATTAAAATTCTATTAAGGTAAATAATGAGTATAAATTAAAAAAAAGATATAACAATATTTTGTTTATCAAAGAAAAAAACCTTCTTCTTTCAGAATATTTGTTATTATAATTTTATTAATATTATAATCTACATGGTTTTAGGTTTATTTTTTTATTTGTTGTTACAAATTTTTAAATTTAATCATAAATTTTTTATTTTGACTTTGGATTTTTGAGTGATGAATTAAATGAGTCTTAAGCTACTCGGACTATTTTTCCTGGCCTTTTAGTACCTTGTGACTCTGAAAACACCTCCACTTCCAGCACTCATGTGCTGTGTGTATTGAGGATTGAAAAGAGCTAGCAATGAGCAATGAGGATCAGGGAGAGTTGCATAGAGAGAGGTGAGATAACTACGAGAGTGATAAACTTAGGCTATGGCATTTTATCTTTCT